AATTAATGTTTCATAGTTTAGGTTGTTTGGGACAGTTTAAAGGGAGGATTTCATAATTTCCTTAATTTCACATTTTTCTCTCGCCATGTGTAATGAAATGTCATTTTTTGTGCATCATGATTTACAGAAAACCTTCTGGTTTTCACTGAAAATCAGTTCCCACCTGTCCAGCTTGAGAGTGACAGAGTGGGTGATAAGGTAGGAATTATAGCAATCATTGAAGATTGGATTAATCTCTGTAACTTTCAGCAAAGCCTATAAAAATAATAGTGTATTGTACCCACACTGTTCTTAAAAAATGATAAATGACCCCCATTTTTTTGGCTAATACTGATCCCAAAATTTCATCCTTCTCCTCAGCTTTATGGCTGCCATAATCTTGATATTTTAATAGCTTTTCCCATAATAGCTCCAAAGACCTTTTTGAGTGGCAGCCCTGATTTTATGGAAGTGACTTAAAAAAAAAAAATCAAGAAGAGTTTCTTCTGCTTAAAGGCAGAACCAAAATATCTGCACATCCCAAGAGGGGCAAGCAGAGAAATGTTATTTTGGCAAACCGCAGGCCCAAGTTAATAATTATTCAGAATTTCTTTGCAGCTTTCACTATAGAGGAGATAATGGAAATGAAGAAAAATAAGTCTGAATAAAATGGGTCTGTGCAGGGGTTGACCAGGCAGGTGCTCAGGGGCTGCTCTGGGATTGCAGCTCGTGGAGTTTCTCCTTTCCTTTAAAAGCAGCAAACACAGGTCAGGAATTGGGTCATATTCTGAGTTTGAGAGATCTGCTTTAACGGGGAAATGAACAGCTTGGGAAATTAGGGAAAAATCACATGGAAAGGTGTCGGAGCTCAAAATGTCCCTCAGACATTTTTGGATGTTCCGGGCCCAGGTCAGAAGCATTTGAGACCCTGGCAGCAGCTGGAAACAGCTGTGATTTTGGGTTTGGGCCATGGAACGATTTACCAACCTTGCAGGAAGAACAAGAAGTCACAAAAGTTTAGATATTAGAGTAGAAGTAGTCACAAAGCAAAGGGAAGAATTTCTGAGTGCTGTACAGGGGGTTTTGGTTTTGTACATGGGGGTCAGAGGTTTAAGATGGAGGGATTTGGGCCTGCCCTGTCCTCCCTCTTTCTCCTTCCTCACCTCCATGTTCTTGGTGATGTTGGCACTCCCAGATTGGTTTAGAGTAGAAAAGCACCATTTAATACAGGTAATAGGCATTGGGGAAAAACTGTACCCATGTAACACATAATGTACCATATAAAAGATAGAAAAGCACCATTTAATATAGGTAATAGGCATTGGGGGACAAACTGTACCCATGTAACATGTAATGTACCATATAAAAGATAGAAAAGCACCATTTAATATAGGTAATAGGCATTGGGGACAAACTGTACCCATGGAACACGTAATGTACCATATAAAAGACAGCACAGCCCTGGGCAGAGGGGGAGAGAAGAAGCAGTCGGGAGTCAGAGAGGATGTCAGGGTGTGTGTGTGCCTCTGCCTGAGCTGTGAGCAAACCACAGCAGCTCCAGGAGAAAATCTTTTAGATAACTTGCAATAAACTGCCTTGAGACCGGACAGCAGAGACTGCTGAGCCTTTCTTTGGAAGGAGGGTTGGAGGAGAGACTTTTCCAGCACACGGAGCCACCCCTGACCTACGGTGGTCTTCGACAGAAAGAGCCCCAAATTAGACAGGAGATGTTTGTCATGAAGCCCTCAAGGAATCAGAGCCTGCTGTGTGATTAGAGAAGCACGGGTTGCCTGGTGCTGCTGCTTCCCTGTGCTCCAAGGCTCGTGTTGGTGACTTTGGGAAATGCTTCCATCACCAGGAGCCACCCCGGGCTGTGTTTGAAGTGTCTGCTGGCTCAGGAGCTACAAATTGCCTGTGGGGTGTGAGCTGCCTGTCATTTCCAGAGGAATTAGAGAGGCAGACCTTATCAAAAGGAATCCTTCAGCTTGGAGGAGCCATAAATATTGCACCAGGATCTCGCAGGAAATCAAAGGCAGATGGAGGGAGCATTTATTTACATGCTGCTACACAAGCAGAATCACTTTGAGATGCTCCAGTCTGTGCTGCTCCCTGGTCTCCATATCCCATTAGTCCCATGAGGTTCATGAGAGGGAGAGAGAAAGAATTAGCCAGTTTTAAATGTTACAGAGCAATAATGGACTGCTCCTAACATCCAATTCTGTGTCATTTGGGCAGCTGGATCTCTCTGGCACTGATAGGAAGGCAGAGCTGCACCTTCAGATCTTTACTGTGTCCCTGAGTTTTATGCAGCCAAATTAACTGAGTTTGAAGGTGGCTGTGGGGGGTGAATTTCAATGTTTTTCTCTCTAGAAATGGGTCTCATTCAATTCCTTCCAACATTTTGGAGGGATCCCAGCTCATCCTTTTGTTTCTCTCTTTGGTCAGACCTCCTCTTCTTGCCCAGCTCCCAGCCTGGCCCTCAGCTCCAGTGACAGAATTATCCCAGACTTTTCAACTGAGGCAGAGCCTGGGAAAAGCTCCTACCATGATTATAGGGTTGGAAAATCTTGAAAATGCCAGCACAAGGGCTCTCGATGGCTCTCACCAGCAAAGAGATGAGAACTCCTTAAGCCAAAGGCATCATTAGCCCACAAGCACAGAACCAGGGACCACAATGAAAATATTTAACCTGGAAATTAGAAGGGTTTTAGCAATTAAAGAGATGCTGCCTCACAGAGAATAGCAGGAGCCCTTTCTGAGGTGCAATTATACCTATGAGACCTCCTGGAGAAGGGTGGGAGGGACGGGGATTGATCCAGGAATTCCCTCCCCACTGTTTGTCTGTGGCCAGGTCACCATTTCCACAGTCAGAGCAGAACTGCAGAGCTCAGGGGCTCTGGTGGAAACCTTGGTGTGAAGAGTCACTCCAATTTCAACAGCTCTGTGCATCCCAGGGCAGGGATGTTTATTTGCCTGGTGCTGGCTGGTTCTGGAGGAGCAATATAATTGTTCACTGAGAGTAAATTAAAAAACAACAACAACAACAAAAAAAAAAAAAAAAAAAAAAACAACAAACCACCAAAAAAACAACAACCTTAACTACTTGCAGAAAATAATAAGCTGGCTGAGAAGTGGTACCTTGTTTGCTCTGAGTATCCTCTTGACATCAGCATGAGGTTCCTTCTAATGAGATGCACATGTGCAAATATGATGATTAGATATTCCCTCATAAACAGAATTATCATATTTTCCTAAAAGTCTAAGCAGGCATTTTCCTGTTGTCACAAATAAATAAATAAAGGCCAAAAGTCTGCATTCGGCCTCTTCTGGCTGGGAACAGTGGGACGTGAGGGCAGAATGTATTTTCCAAAGTACCTAATGGTAGTTGAGGTCAATTATAGACACAACTCATTAGAGTATTAAAATAAGAAGGTGATTTTTAGTATAATTAGTGTTCCCTTAGAAAACTGCAGCAGTCTTGTATCCACTTCAGGCTCTTTGAGTGTGTTTGGGCATTTGGCTCAGGCAGATATAACAGGGTTAGGCTGCATTAACCTCACTCACACCCTCTGCAACATCTCTCACTCCTTCTTTATGGCTCAAATAACTTCCAAAGACGCCTTATAAAACACAGAGCCCTGTCTAATTAGTCACAGAGAAGATTACAGCTGCTTAATTTAGTGTTCAGTTTTCTGCTGATTCAGAAGTTCCTGAGGAATAAAGCATCCAGTGGGTGATAACACAACTCGGCAGATCCTCCTCACAACTGGCTTTAAGGGGGGAAAAAAAAAATTAATTAGGGAGGATGAAAGAAAAGCCACGGGCAGGCTGGAATGATCACGACAAAAAGGTGAGGTTCCTGTGAAATTCATTTTATTCTGGATGATGCTGAAGGAGTAGCAGGAATATCAGATCCATGTGTGGGATTAGAAGCATCACAGGTGGAAATTTGCATTTGGAGTGATGCCTTTTTCTCTGATCCTAAAAATATGAGCCAGACACAGTTAGGGTGATAAAAGGAGCACCTTTATGAAAGGACCCTTAAATGCATGAATTTTCCAGGTGGAAAAGGCTGAGGATGCTCATGATTTATGTACAATGTTTATAGATTCTGCAAATTAGCATATCTGACAAGAACGCCCCAATTAGGAACCTGCCCAGTAAATTAATCCCCCCAGTTCTGTTACCTTCTAAATTCTCCCTCCTCAGATGAGATCCAGGACCTGTTTACAAAAATATGTTTTGAAAAGCTGTTTTCAGCCTTGGTTTCTAAGGAGAGCCAAGACAGCAGAGGGATCCTGAAATTTGTTTTGTCTTTCTGCCTAGGAAAATGGTGAAGCTAAGCTATGATAAAAAACTAAAAATATAGAGAATACAGAGAATATAGGGGGGAAAAAAAAAGGTAAAAAACAAGATGGCATTAGAGAATATATGAAGGAAAAAAAGTTAAAAACCAAAAAGGCAATAGAGAATGTAAAGAAGAAAAAAAAAAGGTAAAAACCAAAAGGGCGTTAGAGACTATATGAAGGAAAAAGAGGTAAAAATCAAACCAGAGCATATAAAAAAACTAAACCCAAAACCAAACATATATATCAGAGAATATATCAAAGAAAAAAAGGTAAAAAACCAAAATGTCATCAGGGTATGTAGAGAAGATAAAAAGGTAAAAACCAGAATGGCATCAGAGAATATATGAAGAGAAAAAAGGTAAAAACCAAAATGGCATCAGGGAATATAGAAAAGATAAAAAGGTAAAAACCAAAATGGCATCAGGGAATATGGAGAAGATATGAAGGCAAAAACCAAAATGGCATCAGGGAATATAGAGAAGAAGAAAGGGTAAAACCAAAATGGCATCAGGGAATATAGAAAAGATAAAAAGGTAAAAACCAAAATGGCATCAGGGAATATAGAGAAGATAAGAAGGTAAACCCAACAGGGCATCAGCAGCCATGGGGCCATCCCAGGGGCTGTGACATCTCTGTTTTTCCCTGCTGACAGCGGGTCCCTTGTGCTTGCAGAGCTGACCTACGCCTGGATCTTCAACGAGTACCCCAGCTTTGTGCACCAGGACAGCCGGCGCTTCGTGTCGCAGGAGACGGGCAATTTGTACATCGCCAAGGTGGAGACCTCGGATGTGGGCAACTACACCTGCGTGGTGACCAACACCGTCACCAACAGCAAGGTCCTGGGGCCACCCACGCCCCTCGTCCTCAGGAACGACGGTAGGAGCCTCCCACGCTGCCCTTTGTTGTGTTTCCGTGGCTGGATGTTGCCCAAAAATGTTAAAAGTGGCTGAAATATTTCTTTTACAGCAAAGGGTTTTCCCCCCTCAGGTTTTTTTCAGTGATGCTTGAGCTGGGGTTCAAACTCATGGACAGGCAAAGTCGCTCTCCCCACTGCTGGAGCGACTCTGAGAGTCAGGCAGTAATTACAAAAGAAAAACCCGCTGGGAGTTGGGCAAAGACAGGAAACAAAATAGATTTTAGAGCCTGGACGTAGCAGTTTTTCTCATTTTCTGCAGCCCAAAAGTGAACAAAGGCACTTTGTTGTTTTGGTAAGTGTTAGCTCAGCCTGTGTTTCCCAGCAGAATTAGTGCTATTATTAGTGGTCTGTGGAATAACACAAAAAAGGGAAGAATAAAGCAGAAGAGGATTTCTAAATTTATACAGACAATTGATCTGTATCCGTCGTCATTTTGGAGCAGATAAGAAAAATACATTTACATGTTAATTTCCAACCAAAATTAATTAAAACATCTCTGTTTAAAGGCTAATCGTTGGGACATTTGTTCCAGGAATAGAAATGCAATGTTAGCAACTTTTCCTGGAAGAAGATCCACTGTCACCTCCTGGGATTTGACAAAAATTCCTTGCTTGGAAAATGCAGGCTCCCTTCTGCAGCCTCCTGCCCATCAGCTTGACACAAGCCCTGTGGAAGGAGTGGGAAATGCTGCTTGAGAAAAACGCCAGTCTCTTGGTTTTTTTAAATTTTAAAAGTTTAATAATAATAAAATGGTTATAAAAATAATAATACAATTAGAGTAATAAAGTTTAGAGTTACAAGACAATAAAAAGCAAAGAATTACGGATGTCCGGATGCTCTCGGACACTGAGTCACAAAAAGCATAACTTGTGAACAAAGGAATCACCCTTAAACCAATACACTTGTTGCATATTCATATATCCTTCATGGTTATGCATACATTCTATTTAAAATAAGAACTCTGTTATATGTCAACTGTTTCCTTTAATCCCCATGGCCTCTTCAAGTCTGAGCAAGGCCTGAAGAAATTAATTTCTTCTGATACGAAACCATAAATTCCTTTCCTTTGGAAGATTTAGGTGTTCCTCGAAGCAAGTATCTCATTTAAAAAAAAAAAAACTCACCCCCCATACATAGTCTCTATTTTAACATTATGTTGTAACCTAAAACTGCATTTAACACACTACGTAAGAGAATTAATACAGCATCACTTTCTGACATTACACATATAATATTCATTGTAACATTTGCAAAAAGCCAATCATAAATATGCATTTTTCACACTGCTGGTGACGAGGAATTGTCACAGCTGGGCTGGGAGGGGTGGAGGTGCTGCTTTTCCATCTCTGCCCCATATCTGCCCTCCCATTCAGGGAATTCTGTGTTCCCATAAACACGGCAGCAGCAAATCCATCCCTCGGAGTGCACAGGGAGTCGTGGCACAGATGACAAAGAGCAATGCTTAAATTTCCCTCGTGCTGACAATTGCAGTGCTGAAATAACCTTTTTAAATATTCCAATAACAGGATATTTTTTTTTTTTTTTTTTTTTGCAAACCCCACTGGAAGAGGTGGAGAGGGACTTGGTAGAAGGGTGTGCAGTGGTAGAAAAAGGGGAAATGGCTTTAAACTGATGGGCAGGGATAAATGGGGAAGGAATTGTCCCCTGTGAGGGTGGGGAGGCTCTGGCACAGCTGTGGCTGCCCCATCCCACTCCAAAGCCTGCTGGGACCATCCAGGTGTTGAGAGCTGCTGCTTCCCTTTTTCTCTTTAAAATGTGGGATTTACCATGCCAGGATTGAAGCAGTAACAGTAGGAAAGGACCAAAATAGTCCTGGAATAAAATTGCCATCAGCAGCAGCTGTATGGGCCAATTAAACTGCAACGTTTCACAGGTGTTGTCAGGAAATGCATATCAAATCCTCAGACAAATTAGCCTCCTCCTGAATTCCTGGGACTTTCATCCCAAAAATCGTTTTTAAGCTTTGAAATTGGAAGAAAGACACAAAAGCCTCTGAAATGCCACCACGTGGAACATCTGATGTGCCCTGACACTGGGACTGCTCTCCAAGCCACAAACACAGGGTCTCTTTTAATCCTTTATTTCCTCCTCCATCCCTGCCACCTGCACGGCTAAGTCAGATGTTAAATCACCCAGGAACAGCAGGAAAAATGAGGATTTTCTGCGTGGAAATGATCTTGGATTCAGGATGGAGATGTCTCAACTGCTCGGATGTTGCTCCTATAAAGAGGAGACAGCAGGATTCATTTCACACCCTGTATGTATTAATGGAGATAGGCAGGGTGGCATTGCAGCAGGAGCCTTGTGGCTTTTCCAGGTGCAAATCCTGATTTTTCCAGGTACAAATCCTGATTTTTTTGGTGGTTGGAATTCTCAGTGAGGCTGGGAGAGGCTAGAGCTGCAGGGCTGAGGGGGGTGGTGGCTGTAGCTGATGTCCCATGGCCCCAGGGAAACATTCCCACCCTACTGGGGGGTTTTATCCCCCTGGAATTTCATCTCTCCGGGCCCAGCCCAAGGCAAAGAAATGGGAATAAATAAAAAATGAGTGAAGAGAAGGAGGAAAAGATCTGCACAAATTCTATCAGCTGCTGCTTCGGAGACCATGGGGCAGTTCTTGGCTTGATTGATGCTCACTCAGCAAATATTCAGCACAAATTTTGGAGAAATTTAGGCAAGATTGCAAAGATTTGGCAGGTCCCAGGTGGGAAAACAGGATTTTGGGCTTTTGGATGGTGCAGTGTTAACATGCAGAGGGCTAATGAGTGACATGCCACATAATTCTTGTTTGTATGATTTGTAAATGCTGGAATGTCACCAGGGAATCCCAGATTTCCTGTTTCATGTACCAGGCAGGGCATAAATTTGGGGAGAGTATCCGTATTTTTAATAAATGCATTTAATTTTGACAACTGGGGCTGTGCAGCAGCTTTGTTGAACATTTATTTGGAATTAATGTGTTGGAAGAAAGATGACATAACCTGCTGCTGCATCAGAACAGGTCAGCAAGCAGAGGTGGATGTGGTGTCAGCCTCACACTGAGCATTTCCAGCTTTATCACTGGAAAAGTAAAGGAAAAAAACAAGATTTTCTTGCATCCAGTGTGAAAAGCAAGAGCAGGGAGCAATCACAGACCAACCTCAGCAGCTCTGATGTTCCCCAGTGTCACTGCAGGGTCCTGCTGGCTCATTTCTGTATTTTTGGGATTCTCCAGGGCTGACCCAGCTCCTCTCCTGCCTTGGCCACAGTCCAGGAAGTGCTGCACTGTTGAGTTTGGAACTGCAATCATCAATTAGCTGATAATCACTATTGGTGGAATTATATGTGCTGGGTTTAAGACAGTGCAGTGGCTGGAAACAGAGCCATTTGTCAGGGGTATAATGGCCTTTTTATGTGCACAAATTTTTAAACACAATTTCATAAAGAGGCTGTCACGCTCCGTGATTTACTGGGGCAGTAAAAAATAAAGAAATTACCCGAGGAGTGGAAGATCTCTGTACATTGAAATCCTGGAAGTTAATAGAAATATCTCTGTTAACTCCAGGGATTTTAAAACTTTTTCCTAATGGCTGTTTGTTCCACGTTTCATTTCTAGAAGATGCTGAACCTCCCTGATTATTGCTCCCCTTATTTCACAAGTTACCTGCAAAAATCCTGCATATTCAAAAGCAAAAAGTAACAGAGCCATGAAGAGATTTTAATCTTTGGCAGATGGTGTGGAGAGTTGGTTGAGCTTCTCCTCTGGCAGTAAATGGGAAAAGAGCCCACACTCCACGGCTGTTAGGAACAAGCCATGTTTAAAATGAATGGATTAATTGGGCAAGTAATGATGTATAGAACAGCTCTGTGCTAGCACAGGAGCAGTTGTGAATTTACTGCTGAAATTCGACCAAGCCTTAGCATCTCCTTTATGTTCCCAGGGGTGATGGGAGAGTATGAGCCCAAAATAGAAGTGCAGTTCCCAGAAACTGTTCCATCTGCGAAAGGAACCACGGTGAAACTGGAGTGCTTTGCCTTGGGCAAGTAAGTTTGGATCCATTATTGTTATTAATTATTATTCCTGCAGCTTCTCTCATTCGTGGTGCTGGGTTTGTGGGGTTTGCAGCAGTTCCTGATGATCCACTTCCCTCAGCAGGACTTGCTTGTGGCCAGTTTTCAGAGCAGCCACAAGGCTTGGGGACTCCTGTTTCTGGAGTAAACACTGGCAACACTTCCAAAATGTTGGGACTGGTAGGAAAACCATCACAAAATGGATGGTTTGGGTTGGAAGGGACCTTGAATCCCATCCAGTGCCGTGGGCAGGGACACCTTCCACCATCCCAGGGTGCTCCAAGCCCTGATTTTGGACACTTTTAGAGCTTCTCTGCACAACCTCTGCCAGGGCCTTCCCACCTTAAAATGGTTTTACCCCAGATTCAGCTGGGTCCAAACAGCATTTTAATAATAAAATGTCTCCTGCATGTACACTGCGATAAACACATTTAGATTTATATTCCACATAACCCACCCTGTGCCAGGCTCCTCACGCTGACCATGCCTTCCTCTGCCTGTGTTATTTCTTTTCTTTTCCCTTTTTCAGCCCAGTGCCCACGATCAGCTGGAGGAGGGCGGATGGGAAGCAGCTGCCCAGGAAAGCCCGGAGGCACCGATCCAGCGGGCTCCTCGAAATCCCCAATTTCCAGCAGGAGGATGCTGGACTCTACGAATGCGTGGCTGAAAATGTGAGAGGGAAAAACGTGGCACGAGGACAACTGACATTTTATGGTAAGCAGGTTGCCTGCTTTCAGGGCTTTTTTTTTTTTTATTATTATTGCAGTCGGTGCAATCTGCAGTAAATATTTTGTGAGGATGTAATTTTGCGAGGATATTTTTTGAAATGACTTTCTTTTCAAACGGCACATCTCGAGAAGGGTGTAATTTGAAATAAAACCTGGCTGAATGGTGCATATTAATTGAGAATCAGAGCAGCTGGAACAAAAACACATCCGCAGAAGGACATTGGCATGGAAACCTGCTGGAAACGTTTGGAAAAGTCTTTTTTCCTTCTTGTGGCTGGGAGGGTAAGGCAGGAAATCTGGGGGAGCATCCTCGTGTTACAGCTTGGGATTTGTGATGTATGGGTTGCCCAGCTTTTGTGGATAAGTGATAATTGTTGATAACCAATTAAGAACAGCTTTCAGGAGGATCAGTGATTGAGAAATGAGGGGAGTTGGGATTTAACAGTGTCAGGGCAGAGCCCTCTCCCCTCAAAGGCTTTCTGCTCCTGCTCTTCCCTCATGCAATCACAGTCCTTGAGCCAGGCACTGGGAAATGTTAAATTTCAGCTTCCTAGGCCTGCTCTGTTAAATAGAAGATGCATTTATCCCTCTGATCCCTGAATTGCTGCTGGGAACAGCCCCAGAGAGCAAAGTGAAAGTGTGGCTTTAGCTGTGTGTAGGTGAGTGAGGGCTGCAGGGAGGGGATTTAGGGGCACAAGGGGCTGGGTTTGGAACCAAGGTTCTGCTGGAGATGTCTTGGGGAGGAGAAGCTGCAGGTTCCACACCAGACAGATGTGCAGAGACCTCCACAGCATCAAAAAAATCCTGGTTTTGTTGCTCCTCTGCTCCCATCCCATGTTGTTTTCAGAGAAAATACGGACAAAAATTCAGAGTTTTCTCCTCCAAATATTTCTGAGGGCTCAGCTCCTGTCAGCAGGGAAGACTGGGTTGAACTCCAGAGATTATGAGAATGGTTTTTGATTTATAGTAATTCTGCCACAGAAAAAGAGTTTGGGAACCAACCCTTCTGGCAAAACTGAATTGAGTTTGGTGAGCAATGTAGGTTTTTTTAAAAAGCGAGGGATGTTTTCAAATTGGAAATATTTCTGAAAGACATTTCATTTAGAGATCACAACTCTGGGGGCTTCCATTTCAAGTGAATATTTCTCCTTTTAAAAATGAGGGGAAACATAATGAGAAAACATTGAAAATGAGTGAAAGAGCAAGAACAAAGTGAAATATTTCACGTTAAGGAAAGAATCTGGGGTTGATTTGAACAGGTTTTAATTTTTTTAATTAGATGATTTAAAGATTCTTTTTTTCTGTGCTGTTTCTCCTGATTTTTCCCATGTGAAGAACAAATTAAAAGACTCATCAGTTGTACAGTTTTGCTGTACCCACAGCCAAGGCTGCCTTCCTTGGAAAGCAGTAAATGGAGCCTTTGGAACACTCCCACCATAGCATATATTGAGTTACAATCTCATTATTGTAATGAATTTACTGCTCTGGATCCTACACAAAAGCTGCCACGGTGGCTCGTGCTGCTTTTCACACCCATCGTGGCATTTCAGCAGAGAAGATCAAGATTTTTTGGGAAGAGGAGTGTCCTGATGTCAGTCTGTCATGCTGGGAACTCTTTCCATCTCTTCCCTGGGAGGAATTCCCAGTGGAGAGGTGACAGACAGGCGCCTCCCCTGCTGCAGGTTTTAAAGATAATTCACTAAAATATCATCCTTGTTGTCCTGAGGATGGTGATTTTCCAGGGAACTGGTTGGGTTTTTTAGGGTAACTTGTGCTTTGCAGCCAGTACTGAAAATATAGATCTCTTAAAAAAAACAAACAAACAAACCCAAAAAAAACCAAACAACTTGCATTCTGTACTCTGGGCTCTGGAGTTTTGCGTGGCACCAAAATTTTATAGGTGAAAGTAACTTATTGTAAACTTTTAAATAAATAGTTGGGAAAATGAATATAATTTTCCTTAATAATTGGGGTTTTTTTTAAACTGAGAAATATTGTTCATTACTGAAATATATCTGTAATGGTGGCAGAGCTTCCAAGTTGCTTTTGGAAGGCCAGGGCTGGTGCTTGGAGAGGGAAACACCCTAGAGGTGAAGGTTTGAATGGATTTGAGGAGGAAATTTTTTGTCATCAGGGTGGGCAGCCCTGCCCCTGGATCCCTGGGAGTGTCCCAGGCCAGGTTGGACATTGGGGTTTGGAGCACCTGGGGCAGTGGGAGGTGTCCCTGCCATGGCAGGGGTGGCACTGGGTGGGATTTAGGGTCCCTTCAGCCCAAAGTGGGTGCTCAGTGTGCTCTGGGCTATCAGAGGTGCTGCCCACGTGCTCTGCAGGTCACAGTGAGGCTCTGACAGCTCCACTCCTTTAAACCCAGTTATCAGCCTCTGTGCATGGCATAAAAGAAAAGAGAAGAAAAATAAATTCAAATTTGCCTGCTTGTTGTAGATAACCCAGCCCTGTCAGCCTCTCTGGGTGCTGCTGGAGGCTGTCAGGGAGGGTTGACTTCTGCTGTGTTTCACTCTTGTATCAGTGTTTATTTTCTCCTCCGTTGGCATATCAGCGACACTGAAGTTGTCTGACACCCTTGTTGCAGCAGAAAAGGTTAATTAAACGTGCAAGATCCATCCTTGCTGCCTTTTCTGTGCTCTGAGCCCCTGCACCAGGCTGTGTTTCACTGCTTCCACAAACCCTTCTGCCAGGGCCCAGTCCCCCTTGATGGATCAACCTTCCCACAGAAACATGCTCCTGTTAACGCAATTACAGCAGCCAACTCCTGCTTCCTTGGCTGATGGAACTCTGAATGACACTTTTCTCTTGTTCTCCCTGCTGTCCCAGCCTCAGGTTAATTCCTGGCAAAAGCTCCTGCTGGGATTCTTGGGGCTGTCCTGTGCAGGGCCAACAGCTGCGCTTGATCCTTGTGGGTTTCTACCAACTCAGAATATTCCCTGATCCTGAATTATCAAATTAGATTGCACAGCCTCTTCTTTTCCACCTTTTAGCAGCTCAGAGTGCTGGTGCTGCCTTCCTGACCTGGCAGCTTTTTCCCTTTTTTCCCTGTGCCAGCTGAATCCCGTGGCTGAGGCAGGTGAGGTCCCCAGCAGGACACAGGGTTCCCTTCTCCCAGTTTCTCCCAGTTTCTCCCAGGCTCTCCACACCCTCAGCTGTGTGTTTTGGGATGCACTCCCATTGACCTGATTGTATTTTTAATCTGGCTGCTCATAAATTTTACATTTGCTAACCCTCCGCAGGGCTAAGATTTATATCCTGAGCAAACAGCAATGCCAACAATTATTTTTTTCCTGGCAGAAGTACAGTAAACAAATTACCTTAACCAGCTAATTTAAAAAGAAATTGCCTTTTTTGTTCATAAAGCCAGCATCAAGGAGATGCTTATTTATTATTGATGTTTAATTCGTGGTAAGTTTAGATGCTGTTTCAGCCCAATCTTCTTTTGTTGATATTTGTGACCCCAAGGCTGCTCATCCCTGGGTTTGAGCTCCTTGGGCTCTGCTTCCCTATGTTGACTTTGATCAGTCAATGCAACATCTTGAGATCCCCCTGCCCAACAAAATATTTCACCTGAATAACAGCAAATATGAAAAATAGCTGCTGGTTGAGGTGATATGGACGTGTTCAGTGGGGCTGGGAGTGACAGCACAGGGGAGGGCTGAGGAGCTGTACCACCACTGAGAAGGTTTGTGTGCTGGGATTTGACACAAAACATGGGATTTGTCCCTGTTTTTCCAGTCAGATCCACACTGGGAAATCTCCAAGCCCCAAAGCAGCTCAGCTGGACCAGCACTGTGCAGGTGCTGCCTCAGCATCACCTCTGTTGCTCCAGCATCTCCCATCCTCTCCTACTCCAGCAAGCCAAGGAAAGGAGGAAAAAATTGCAGCTCAAATGCTTTCCAAAAGTGTCAGCACAGCAGCATCTGCATTAGCAGACAGACAGACTTCTCTGTCACTAATTACAGTTCTGTGCAGCATTTGCTGAGCTATTCAGCAAAACCCATTTAATTGTCTGGGCCCCTTTTCAGATTATATCCTTCTCAAATCTAAGTCCCGCTAGGAATTTGTGAGGCTCCTTAATTTTGCAGTGAAAAGAGTCCTCCTTTCATCAGCAGGCCTGTGTTTTATTTGGGCAAAAGCCACTTTATGCCACTCTGTAAAACAGCCTCAGATGTAAATCAGATTATTCTCTTCATTATGGCCAGAGGTCTAAAAAGGAAGTTTGCAAAAGTGAAAATGGGGCACTTTTATGTCTGCTCAGTTTATGTCCCAAATCACAAATAATTTGCTTGAAATTTTAATAAAGTGAGTTTCTGGACTGATAAAAAGACAAGAAAATTCCTGTACATAGGGGAAGTACATTATGGTATTATTACTATATTATTATTAATTATCTTTCACATCACTCACTAGAAAACCCTGTTGTCACCTTTTACACAGGTACAAGTTAAAACAGGGAGGAGTAACTCTGAGTTTTGAGTTCTTTTCTGCCCAAGGGAGGTCTTGCATCCAGAACAGCTTCCTGCACAGAGCACAGACATGTTTCTCACCAGCTTTTCCTTTTCCAAGGGATTGCTGGAACCCTCCTTACAGAGAAATCAAATTTTTGGAGATTCAGAAAAAGTCTTGTGTTATTATCATTGTTGCTTGGAGAATCATCTCTCCAGCAGGAGAAGCAAAAATACAAATAGGGTGAAACACAAATAGAAATTAGATGAGTGAAGGCTACTCATGGAACACCCTACACCTCCCTTACACCCCTGAGCAGCTGCAGTTTAGTGCCAGGATGAAAAGCAACTAAACCCATGAGGATGGGTCCCTGTGGGTGTGCCTGTAACACCCACAGCCTACAAAAATTGGGAACAAAATCCTGCAGTGGTGCAGAACAGCTCGTGGAACAGGAGGTAAATGAGAGGAAGGGATGACTGAAGTGGTTTTATCAGCTGGGTTAAGTCCTTCAGATTTTTCTCTGTTTCTTTTCCTCTGGTGTTTAATATTTTAGTGCCAAGCAGAACTCCCAGGCTGAGTTAGTAGGGTCAGTCTGTTAGAGTTTCCAAAGACTCAGCCAAATGGAGATTTATTTATTTATTTATTTATTTATTTAGGCACAGCATTCCAGCAGATTGGTTTGGTGCAGGATTTGCACACCTTGAGGTTGTACAGATATTAAACAGTCTTTGACTGGCAGCAGAGGTCAGGAGGGAGGACAGGAAGAGAGAGGAGAAGGGGCAATCCCACACTTGAGGTCTGGTTCCACATCCCTGTGATCTGTGGGCAGGAAACAAATCAGGATCTGTGGGGTTTGTGCACAGGAGCTGGGTCCCGATTTGGGGCAGGATGGGCATTTTTCTGCACAAGCTTACACACTGCCTGCACTCTTTTTTTCCAGTTACTCATATGTTTTTCCCATCTGGTTGCTTTTTTCTTTTTTTACTTCTTACACTTGGCTTTCTGGTCTTTAGACCGCTCTGATCCTGGGCTCAGTCTCAATCTCCTTAGAATAGAGATGGTAATGGACAACTCATTCAGCCTTTCATCTGCCATTAATGATGAATTACACAGCCTGCACCAGGTCATCAGCTGCTAGAAATTGGCTTAGGAACACTGAAATCAATACACACCAGCTGAGAATTGGATTCTGGATATGTATTAGCACCTCATTTGCTTGAGCCTTTTTGGTTGTTTTGAACTCACAGATGATTGCAGAGTCCTACAGGTTTATTTCTGATATTTCTTCTTTACTTCTGGGGGTTTGTTACTCATTTCTGAGGTGATGCATCATCACCTGCCACATGATTTCATTTTCAAATATCTTTTAGGACATGATTTCCAGTTCCTACTTTTGCCTTTTAATTTATTACAGTGAAGGACAGACTGCCTCTGGGCTTTTTTGTCTTAGAGAAGTAAGAATATATTTGGGTATATTTACCTGGTTTTAACTGTCCCACTTTGTGCTGGTGAAGACTGAAAGGTGATCAAAGGTAAACAGGGTTTTTTTCTCACTATTTCCATCACTTTTCTTCAGTCTCCCTGAGTACAAACTCCAGAAATCTCGTAGGAGGGGAAGATTTTTCTTTAAAGCAATCCTTATGTAAGAGTCATGCTTATATCTCTTAGCTTTTTCTTTCACTTTATAGATTTAGCATATGAATTTTGCTTGCAACTCAGATGAATTCTTAATCAGCTTCCAGATTTTTCCTCCAGGACGTTTCCAAGGCCAGTACTATCTTAAATACTGGCCAAGCAGGACCAAAATATCTCCTGTAAAATAATTTCTCTTTAGTCAGCGTCGCTGAAACAGTCCAAAGGACATTTTTTTAGACCAGTCACAAATTAAACCTTGTCATTATGTCCAAGAACATCACTACACCAGAAAATGTTGTGGAGAGGAGCTGGTTTCATTCCCTTATCTGAATTATTTTAATTATCATGCCTGAAATCTCGTGTCCTGTTACCTTGGCCTGATCCCCAGTGGGCTCCTGTCAAATTCCATTAGGTTGTGACCACTCTGCTTTGGTGGCTCACAGATATTTGCAGCATGAGCCAACCCCTGAGTATTTCCCAAGATGAAGCCAAGAGCTTCTCTCTGCACTGAACTGTTGAGAGGAGAACTTGACCTAATTAGAAAAAGCTCCCAAAGAGCAGCGGGGAACGAACTCCTGCCGAACAAACAGCTCAGAGCTTTTCACTGAGATGGTTTTTTGACCTGTGCTGCTCGCTCTGTGATGGAACCCAGGCCTGGTTCGGGGCTCCGTGTGGTGGAAAAGTCTCTCCTCCAACCCGAGCTTCCAAAGAAAGGCTCAGCAGTCTCTGCTGTCCGGTCTCAAGGCAGTTTATTGCAAGTTATCTAAAAGATTTTCTCCTGGGGCTGCTGTGGTTTGCTCACAGCTCAGGCAGAGGCACACACACACCCTGACATCCTCTCTGACTCCCGACTGCTTCTTCTCTCCCCCTCTGCCCAGAGCTGCTGCTGCCTTTTATATGGTACATTACGTGTTACATGGGTACAGTTTGTCCCCAATGCCTATTACCTATATTAAATGGTGCTTTTCTATCTTTTATATGGTACATTACGTGTTACATGGGTACAGTTTGTCCCCAATGCCCATTACCTATATTAAATGGTGCTTTTCTATCTTTTATATGGTACATTACGTGTTACATGGTTATAGTTTTTCCCCAATGCCCATTACCTATATTAAATGGTGCCTTTCTACTCTAAACCAATCTGGGAGTGCCAACATCACCAAGAACATGGAGGTGAGGAAGGAGAAAGAGGGAGGACAGGGCAGGCCCAAATCCCTCCATCTTAAACCCTCTGACCCCATGTACAAAACCAAAATCCCCCTGTACAGCACTCAAAAATTCTTCCCTCTACTTTGTGACTACTTCTACTATAGTATCTAAACTTTTGTGACTTCTTGTTCTTCCTGCAAGGTTGGTAAATCATTCCATGGCTCAAACCCAAAATCACAGCTGTTTCCAGCTGCCTGCCAGGGTCTCAAATGCTTCTGACCTGGGCCTGGAACCTCCAAAAATGTCTGAGGGACATTTGGAGTTCCGACAGCTCTGGAGTTGTCTGCACCATAAATGGCTTTGGAATTTGGAATTTTAGCTTACCAGTCATGACTTTTCTTGATTTGCAGACTAATTCCAGTTGTTTTGTCTGGGTGGGGTTTTTTTTGGTGGTTTTTTCTTTTTTTTTTTTATTTTCATGTGGGAAATCTGTAAAACAGCACAGCAAAAATAAAAAAGGCAAATGGATGTGTGTGGGTTTTATAGAGCTCCTTTCATGGGATCATAAAATTCCCTTCAAAATGATGAGTTAGATGCTGTTAGAATAGTAAATATGTAAATTCATGAGTAATTTGCAAATGTCCTTGAGCCACTGAACCCGTTGCAATTGCTCAGCTCAATGGAATTGTTCAAGTTCTTACTCCAGATGACAGAACTGACTTTCATCTTCCTACATTTAAAGGCTTTCCCTTTCCTATCTCTTTAGATACTGACAATAAACAGGCTTAAAATATTACAGGGGCAGGAGGGGCAGCCAGAGAAATAAACACCATTCACTTCTCCTTTTCCTTCTGCATTGCCAGGATGCTTAGTTCACCTTTTGGGTTTTTGTTTTGTTTTGTTGGTTTTTTTTGTTTTGTGTTTTTTTTGGGTTTTGGTTTTTTGGAATTCCCTTGGAGCTCTGGTGCTGTGGAAAACTTTCCATTTCATCTCTGTTTTGTAGGCACGTTCAGGGGTGGGGTTAAACACAACCTGAGCTCTCTGAATTTGGATTTCCAGCATCCCACCATCACAGACATACCCCTCTTTTGGGTATAATCATACCAATTTGCCCTTTTGATGTGATATTTTAAAATTTATCCTTTCAAGCCAATCTCTGGGCCCTGTCCCCATCCAAAGATGTGTAAAGTTGTTACCTGGCTTTGAGGAATCTTAATTTTTTTCTTTTATCTGATTACACAGGGAAAAGTATTAATCAGGTTCTTGGAGACCTCTGCTGGTAATACCATCCTGCTAAGTCAGATGTTCTTATGTCAAAATAGGGTAAATGCCCATTAAAAAATCAGAATTCTATTGTTTACTGGGACTTTATGAAAAGTATTACAGATATATTTATAATATGCAATGCTATCTATTTAAGATCTTATTAGTAATAGTGTATTGATATCGTATATGTGGACAACAACAACAAAAGGCAACCCTTAAAGTCTGAGGTTTTGGGTGGTCTTCAAAACCATGTGGCAATTTTAGTGGAATTTAGTGGAATCTGGCTAAACTCAAATTCTATTAAAAAAAAAAAAAAAAGCCGACAAACTGATAACATTATGTGAAACACCATTAAAAATGCAGTCTCACAAATAGTTGGAAACTGCCAGTGCTAGTTTTCACCAAATTCTACCAAAATGTGTCTCCAATATCTGCTTGTGGCCCTTCTGGGTTTATTCAGTGTCATTAACACAATAATTGGGTCCAAAGATTTTTCTTTTCTGTGGCAATATATGGAGATCTGGCCTTAATCAAGACAAGACTGAGAGCCTGGACCTGAAGTAGTGCCTGTAACCATGCAGAGTAACTGGAATAACCTCAATTTCAATGCAGAACTAGTTCTAAATTACATGTTTTGAATTCTGCAGCTAAATTTTAGAGCTTTGAAGGCTAAGTTATTGAGACCCTGAGGAGGGAAATGTCTCTATTTGAAAGACCAGGTGTGTAACTGCTGCTTTGTTTTTGCAGGATGGACGGGTTTCTGAAGCTACTCTTTTCCTTTAAGGGTTTTTACTACAAATAAAATAAAAGTAGCTTCTGATCTTGGCCTGTGCCACCTTCAGAAAGCGGCACTGGACTCAAGGAAGAACAGTAATCTTTAGCAGTTCTTATGATGCCTTTTGGGGCTACTTAAAAACAGAGGCCAGACAGAATTAAGGGAACAAAAAGCATTTATTTTTATTGAAGGGCCTTCAGGTACATTTAGGGCAGACAAAGCCCCCCAGTGGCTACACCCAAAAATGGATGATGGGTCACAGGTTTTCACACTTTTATAAGTTTGGTTCATTTGTATATTGGGGGTCAATCTCCCAATTCCAGCTCAGGTAATGAAGTCACTGACCCCAGGTTTGCTCCCCCAACTCACTTTTGTTCCCATCTCTCTGGCCTGAGGCACTGAGGTGTCCTTGATTGCCAGGCCTGGAGAGGAATTGTTGTGTCTGCCCCAAATGGGGAAGCAGCAGCTCACACTGCGTGTGGAGTTTGGAGTTACACCCTGAAGAACCACAGGGTTACAAACAGATGGAAAATAGAAAATCTAAAATCCCAACGCTATCAAGTCCAGCGTTCTGCTGAGGGAAGGAGCTGTTTGGCAGCACAGAGCTGCTGCTCCCAGGCTCGAGGCTTCCCTCCCTCTTGCCTTGCAGCCCAGCCCAGCTGGACGCAGCAGATCAGCGACGTGCACGCGGCCATCGAGGAGCGCGTGTCCTGGGAGTGCCGCGCCAGCGGCCGCCCCAAGCCCTCCTACCGCTGGCTCAAGGATGGGGAGCCCCTGCAGCCACAGGTAGGCACTGCTGGAACCCCCTGGGCATGGGAGCTGGGGGTGCTGGGCTGTTCTTCCAGCTCTCTGATCTCTGGGTGTTGGTTTTGGGGTGGGGAGGATGGAGGTGCTGTGGAATCGTGGAATGGTTTGGGTTGGAAGGGACCTTCAAGATCATCTCTTTCCACCCCCTGCGACCTTCCACTGTCCCAGGCTGCTCCAAGCTTTGTCCAGCCTGGCCTTGGGCACTTCCAGGGATCCAGGGGCAGCCACAGCTGCTCTGAGCACCCTGTGCCACCCCTGTTCCTTCCCGTGCATGGTGGCACCTCCCTACAGCTCCAGGAGCTGCTGCCAGGGACAAGCAGGACACACAACAGCTCTGCATTCAGAGCTCTCCTCCCCAAAATGAAGGATGCAAACCTAACGCTGGAAAGAAGGAGGAATGGCTGAATGGGGTTTTGGAATCTGCCACTAGAGAATGATCACCCTAAAACAATTATTTTAATTTATGGTGTTTAGGTGAACTTCAGCTGATAATGAAACCCCGGGGTCCCCGCTGGTGTTTGATGGATTTCCCACTCCTCCTGCTGAGCTGTGTCCCTGTGCAGGAGCTGTGGAATTACACTCCTCCCACCAGCACGTCTGCCCAAGCTCTCCTGGGGGTCATCACCCAGTCCATGATCCCACCTTGCACCACAAACTCAGCAAGTCACCAAAGCTTTGGTTTCACAGTAGCCAGCACTTCTTCCCCGTCACTTATTGTGAAAGAACATGGCAGCCCCAATTTGATCAAACCCTGATAAAAATTGCACAAACATTAAATTTCTGCCCTAAGGCCAAGTAGAAAACCAAAAGCTCTTTATTTTAGATTCTTTTTTTTTTTTAATGTCAAACTCCTGGGGAGGGAGGGAACACTTTGCTGGACTTATTAGAATTGATAACTTGAGCTCCATATCCTCAGGCTGACAAATGATAGCCTGGTCTTTCACTCCACACACTAATTCTGGTTGCTTCACGCTGGTCACTAGCAGATGGTCTTATTCTTAAATCATGTTAGTGGCTGATATGAAGTAAAGGATCATTAAATTATTGTCATTTACATTGTTTTCAGTAAACTGCAGAAGATTTTAAATGTTTCTCTCTGTGCTGGCAACCAGTCTTAGTAGCCTGCATTGGCAAATCACTCCAAATGGCCTCAAGATGTGCCAGGAGAGGGTCAGGTTGGGCATCAGGAGGAATTTCTCCATGGAAAGGGTGAATTTCTCCATTGGAACTGCCAAGGGAGGCGTCCAAGAAACATCTGCATGTGCTGTAGCTCAGTTGCTATGGTGGTGTTTGGTCAAAGGTTGGACACAGTGATGCTGGAGGTCTTTTTCAACCTTAATGACTCTGATTCCATGGAAATGCCATTGTTCTAAATGTTTCTGAGGATGGGCTTGGCTGTGATGTGCCACTGTGGAGCAGAAGTGCATTTCTTGCTTCAAGCTTATCTCCTTGAAAGGGATATTCATCTAAATGTTTTGGGTATTAAATCAATGAGGGGTCAAGGGAAAGTCCTCCAATTTAAATTGCATTTACCAGCTCCTATATTGGTTTCACCATTTAGTCTCTAGCCTGACATAAATTTGGCTGGCAGACAAATAAATCGCAGCATGCAAATTCCTCCCGTTGCCGCTACTTCGTTTCGTCCACCTTGCTATAAAATACAGCCGGAACACCTCTGTGTGCGTGTTCTGAGGAGGCTCGTTGGTGTTCTCGTTCATTTTGGAGTTTGTTTTGCTGTCCCCCAGGGCAGGCTGCAGCTGGAGCAGGGCTCTCTCACCATTCCCAACGTGAGTCTCTCGGACGCGGGGATGTACCAGTGCGTGGCCGAGAACAGGCACGGCGTCATCTTCGCCAGCGCAGAGCTCAGTGTCATCGGTGAGTGTCCCCCTGATTCTTAAGATTTTCTAAAGCCTTCTGAGTTTACATTCTGTTAGAAAACTTTCTCACACAACTTTCTATAAACAACATATTGTTTTGCATTCCTTCATAGGGGTGGAGAAACTTGATGTACTAGTAGTTTGTCCAATGTCTTTGAAGAAGTAGCGCATTCACTCTCCAATCCACAGTCACCTTTAGAAAAGTATAAAAGTTAGAGTCAGAAAATAAACCTTCTTCTTCTTTACCTTGCAAATAGCAGTGGCTCGTGTCGTGCTTTCATGTGTCCTATAGGGACAGGTGAGTGCACGTCCCCTGCACTGCCAACCTCCCAAATCCACAGCAGCCCTGCCCGAGCTGCTCCTGCCAAGCAGAAGGGCATCTTTGATGGTTTGTTCCTAAGGAAGGCGTGAAATGAAAACTTGAGGCAGTGGAGAGCAGAAAACAGATGTTTTTTACTTCATCCCTCATTCCCACCTTCCTCCAGGAGCTGGCAGGTGCATTCACTCTCCTGCTGCTAAAGTTATTTCTGGAGAAACCTGAGCATTCAGAACATCCAGGACCAGAAGTGCAGAGGTGACTCTGCCCAGGACACGGTGACAAACCTCCTGGCTGAAGAGGCCATTCAGCAATCTAACTGCAAACAAAATTCCCTCATTCCAAAGAAAAGCATCTTCCACCCCACAGTTCTGTGCACAGCTGCTCTGCTCCTCCCAGATAAAATCAGGAGAAGCTCATGTGAATCCGAGTGGGGAAATGAACACCTGAGGGGAGGGAACAGAGACTACAGAGCCAGGATCTTCTCAGAGGTGCCCATGCCAGGACAGAAGGCAATGGCCACAAACTGAAACCTGGAAATACCACTTAAAATAAGAAAAACTTTATTTTAAGGTTGGTTGGACACTAGAATTGTCCAGAGATACGGTGACATCCCTGTCCTTGGAGATGCTCAACATCCAACTGGCCACAGCTCTGGGCAACCTCCTGTGGCTGCCCTGGGTGACCAGGGGTGGGGTGGGACCATCCCAGATATCCCTGCCAGGCTGCAACTCAATCCCAAACCGTGTTCTTGAACGAGAGGCAACCCTGGTCAGCATAGGGGTGTATTTTCAAAGGGTTCAACACAATTCCTGATTACAAAATAACAGTTTTGTTGCTCTCAACCCAAAAGTTCAGTAGCAGCATTCTCTGATTTATCCTGAAGAACAAAGCATGAGGTTTTTTTCCAGCTATGGGATTTTCAATTATTGGTCATTTTTTATCATCAGTGATAGATGCCTGCATAGAAAAAAAATTCATTTGAAGGATTGTCTGTGTTGCTGTTGGAGAAAAGTACAATAATGCTCAATAAATTAGGCTTCACAATGCTGAGATTTATTGGACATGAAAGAAATCGAAATAAACCCACTGATGCTTTTCTTGTCTATTTAAAACCTGGTAAAAATGGACCTTTGGGAAGGAGTAAGATGTTTTCAGAGGAGAGAGGTTTAATCCTTGTTGGTGGGGACTCCCACGGTGTCCTTTTGCCCATCAGCTCCTCGTGTCCACACAAAAAACAGATTTTGGAGGGTCTGGTCTGAGAAACCTGGCAAGGAATATTTATTTGGCCAATTTCTCGCTTGGGTTCTGCAGCTCTGTTTCTGTCTGTCACAGGAAAAGCACCCAAGTGGTGTCCCGCAGATAAATTCCTGTGCATCTGTGATTTAACTTGGCACATTTTGAAAGGAAAGCAGCAGGTTTGCCTTTTCACTAGAGTTTCAAAGCAGGGCAACATTCTGAGCCCTCCCTGGGAAATTTCAGCTTTTAACCAGATCTGAGTGTTAAAATGGTTGTTTTAAAAGGTCCTGAAGTTAAGCACTTGCTACTGATGTTGTTTAATCATCTCAAGTGAGACTTACACCAAAATTAAGTGAACGGGAGAAATGGAAAATTACAGACCGAGTTTTTCTCAGAGTGATTCTTTTCAATTATTGTTGCCAATTATCTTGCCTGGAGTCATTAAATAAAAGCAGAATCCAGTGGTGCTGGACATTGTAGAAGACATATTTCGAGATGCAGTCTTGTCTCACAGAGTTTTCAGGCTAAATGTTTAAAAAACAAATTGGAAAAATGAAATGTGGGCTATAGTGGGGAAAAAAGTTCATTAAAATCCCCTGCTTGACAAACAAAAGGTGTGAATAAATTCATTACTCCTGAAGTGGTCCAGGGAAGTTGTGGCAGTGCTGAGAAATGAGCCCAGAGTTTCTAAATGTCAAATGACGAAGTTTTGAACGTCACAGAACAAAACCCATGGTGTGTCTCACACAGGAGCAAGAAAATTCAGCAAATGACTCACAAAAAAACAGTCTAAAATGTTTATTACAGAGATGGGAGTAACAGGATTATTCAAAAAATCTCTTTTGCTTATACACTTGGGACAATCATCTGAGAAATTTGTTTCAGAAGTGATGGGCTTTGGGGGTCACCTCAGTGGATATCTGAGTGTTTGTCACAAAACAAGGAGTGTGCCCTAGGGGCAGGAAAAGATGATTCTTTGTGCCCTGGAGCCAACAAGTCTTGCTTGGTTCAGGACCTGGCTGTGTCAGTGTCTCCCACCGTTGTAGAACTTAAATAAATAACCCAGGTTATGCAATAATAATGAATAGGAAGCATAAAAGTGTCAACTTTTCTGGAAATAGTAACATTTCTGATTAATTATATGGCTTCTGTGTTTGTGAGAACTTCCCTGCCTGAGAGAAGGATGATCCTGACACAGAAAAGAAAACACTTTATACTCCTCATGCACGAGGTTCCTAGGGGTGCTGTCCCAGTAAGATGTGCATGGTGGGGTTACTGGTTTCTCAGGCTTTTAGCTGAACACACATTTTTAAGCAAATCAAGTATTTTTTTTCAGTGAAAGAAGCACTCAGGTGCCTTTTTACCCCATCCAGACTTCACTAGTTCATAAAGTCCAATCATTTAGGAACTGTAAGTGAGAAACAACCCTGGGATTTTGTAATGTTCAAATGAGTCTGGCTTTGTTTTTTCCTGAGGGAATTCTGATCTGGTTTGTGTCGATTTTGCTTTCAGCTATCGGGCCAGACTTTTCCAAAACCCTGCTGAAGAAGTTAACTCTTGTTAAAGTGGGTGGTGAAGTCATCATTGAGTGCAAGCCCAAAGCCTCCCCCAGACCTACTTATTCTTGGAAGAAAGGAAAAGACATCCTGAGAGAAAATGAGAGGTAATGTCTTAAAGTAACCATTTCTTTCATTAACTAACCCAGGGACTTTCAGCAATCAAAGCTAAATTTGTCATTAATAGCTTTGCAAAATTGACTTGCAAATACATGAGGAAACAGCCTGTGCTCAATCCCAAGGAACTGGGGGTGAGATTCCTATTCCCATGGTGCCCATCCCATCTCTGCCTGCTATTAAATCATCCCTGCCAAGAAGCTGATAAAAATGCACCACCCCAAAAAAAAACACTAGTGTTTTGCCTCTGCAGTGCTCTAAATAATCATTGTTTTTTTTTTTTTTTAAATATATATTCCCAGGAGATAAAAGCCTCCACTGCAAAATGCACATCTCTGGTACATTACTCAGTATCCTGCAAGCAGGAATTATTTGGGGGCAATAATTAATTTGGCACTTCTAATGCCTGACTTGAAGGTGGCTTTCTCAAACTGGCCAAATTTTTATTTTTTTTTTTTTAATTTAAAAGCCAGCTTTTCAAATCCTCCTCTGTGGTGTTGACTTGTTGTTGGCTTTGTAGAGGTGTGGTTGTGTCACCTGCACAGCACCTGAGAGCAGGACATAGAAAACTGTCCCTGACACTCCTCCAAAACATGATGTGGCACTGGGATGGATGAGGAGAATCCTGTCCTATTAGTAAAGATCAAATAGCCAGAAATTGTAGGAAATTGCTACCTTAAAAGCTTTAATCTGTTAGAGCTGTTCTTTTACCTTGGGAAGCCTAATCTGTCTCCACCCAGCCTATAATATCCATAGAAATAGAGACTGTGGTGGTGGGTCTGAGTGTGCAGAAATCTCCAGTCCATTTACAGCCAGATGATTCAAATATTGAACACCCAACTTCTGACTGCTTTAGCTCCTTTCCCTGACCCTTACCAAGCTGTTTTCTGTGGGCTGTTGGCTTCACCCCTTGGCATGAAAAGAGTCGGTGATCGATGACACAAAACTCCCTTCAGCAGGCAGGGCACAGAGCTGCTGAGGTCAAACTTGTCATGGATCAAGGTTTCCTGATTTTTAAAACTGAAATAACTTCCTCTCCTGGTGAGGGTGGTGCCAAGGGAGGAAAATTTGGGGCTGGAAGGGCTGGGAATGTTTGGGGCTGGAAGGGGTTACTGGAAGCTTTGGAAGGTTTGGGGCTGGAAGATTTGGAATGTTTGGGGCTGGAAGCTCAGGAGTATTTGGGCCTGGAAGCTGTGGGAGTGTTTGGGGCTGGAAGGGGGTGCTGAAAGTTTTGGAGAGTTTGGGGCTGGAAGATTTGGACAATATCGATCATTTATGTTGGACAGTGTGTCTGTACCTTAAACCAATATAAAAGTGTCACCATCACAGCAAGGCATGGAGGGCAAGAAGGAAAAGGTCAGGACATGCCCAAATCCCTCCATCTTGTCCCCTTGAACCCCATTCTAAAAATCCCAAAATTCCATTCTTTTTCACCCTGTGTTAACTCAGCTACTACACTACTCAAACCCTTGTGGTTTGTAATTCCTCATATGGAATTGGCAGTTTTTATCATGGGCTAAAATCAAAGCCACAGGTGTTTGTGACTTGGTGCCAGGGTCTGGAGCAGCCAGGGCAGCCAGAGGGATGTGCTGGGGTCCCACAACTGGGCTGTGCTCCTGTGGGGATGAGGTGCTGAATCCTCACCACTGCCTTTATGCACCTGCAGACTGTGTGAAATGCACAATTAGGGAATGACCTTGTCTGCTGTGGTCCTGGCATTGCTCCTCACCTCTGCCTTTGCTAGCAGGAGGGGCCAAGTGCCTGAGCTCAGCTTAATCCTGCTGCATTTCTGCTTTCTGTGCTTGCTGAAATGTCATCTCCTCCCCGCAGTCCCAGGGGACAGCAGCAGTGCCTGGAGTCCAGCTCCAGCATCTTCCCACACCCCCAGCTGTGTGTGGACTTCAAACAAAAACTTTCTTGGCTGTTGTGAATAAAATCTGTTGAAACCTAGGAAGAAAGATGCCAGGAAAAGCTGCTGCTGCAATCTCTTCATCTAGGACAGGACACAGAACTTTTAGACAGGCGTAGGAGAAGAAACTTAAATGAAATCTCTGCTTAAATTGACGTTAAAGGGTCCTGTGAGTGCCAGAGAGGCATCTGGATCCTGCAGGCTGATCACGTGAAGGTTAATCAATATAGATGATCCTTCCAATTCCAGGTGGAGTTAAAAGCAGCCCTGTGTCAGGGCTTGCTTTGAATGCTGATGCTCAGCCTGATGGCTGCCATGGCAATCACTTCAGAGTTTCTCCCGGGGCTTTTGTGGCTTTTCAGCCGGTGTGTGATGTTAAATTCCTGGCTGGAGACTCTGTGCATGGTTTTTGCTGCTGAGACTCCAGCTCTGGAGGCTCCTACTGTCCAGAAGGCAAAACAAAATGTGTTCTTCAATGTTTGCCCAGAGAGCAGAGACTACCACAGTCAAAAAAAAAAAAATAAAAAAAGAGCTTTATCGGTTTAGGTTTCACTTTCTCCTCTGGAGGCTGAGGTAATGTGTGCTGCACCTCTAATGAATCACATGGCCTGAGGGCATCTCTTACTGGTGGTTGAGAACTGTGCAATTGTGTTATTAGGAATTCGCCCTGGGGTACAATTATATTATTGCAGTCATTAAAGGCACTTCATCTCCATAATAATGGAAATCCTGCCTTGGAGGCCTAACTGAGTCAAAATGATGTTGGGGGCCTGACTGCAGAAGGTAAATTTTATATAGGAACAGCTCTAGCACAGATATAGATGAAATGCAAGTGCTGTTTGGAAACAAAGACTGTTTCTGTGTGCGGAAAGTGCAGGGATCATTTTCCATCCTTGATGTTCCCTTCATGTTCCAGTGCAAAGTGCTCCCCTCCCTGGGAAAGATCTTTACTCCTGGCAATGCTGAGCCACTGGGAGAGCAGGGGCAGGTGAGACACGATGAAAATCCACCTATTCCCAGGAAAGCCTGGCTCAGGAGCAGGGGGTGCCTTTCTGGTGGCCCCCGAGTTTGCCATAGCCCACCAGAGAAGAAGGCTGGTGTCCCAGCAAACCCCCAGGTGCTGGCCCGGGGCAGAGCAGCACCCCAGGGCTTGGCTGTGGGAGCAGAGGGGTTTCACACCTGGGCTGGGATGCTCCTGTGCCAACAACCCGGGGCTTTCTGTCCCTCCCCTGCACAGAGGGAAGTGGCTTTTAGTAACTTGGCACCAGAGGCTGTTCAGATGGAGCATCTTATGGAAATTCCTCATGGGATTGGTCAAGGGGTGTGTGTTACCTGTTGGTGTGGAGTGATTTTGCTGGAGCAGCCTGGGCGTTCTCCTGAATCGTGCACTCCAGGGGGACCTGCCTGAGCAGGGGGTTGGATGGGATGACCTGCAGAGATCCTTTCCAGCCTGAACCATTCTGGGAGTGGTGTTGGAAGGGTCTGCTCAGCCCTGCAGGGTCTGCCCTCTTCTCTCAGGTCTTGTTTTGGGTCTAGGCAAAGGGGTTTTCATTTTTCATGTCATAATGGCAATAATTCCACTTATTATTCCTCACAGAGTGAGACAGGGACATTTCCCAGAGGTAAAGCTGTAGCACTGTGTGGTTCAAGAGTAGATTCTCGTTCTTCTTGTTCCTCCACAGCTTCCCACTTTTTCCCTTCTCCTTGACTCCCCAACAGCAAAAAAGAGTGCAGGAAAGGCAAGAAAACTTTTATTTAAAACATGTACACAACAGTCTTCATTCCTAATGTTCTCCTAGAGCTACTGGAAGTCATATTTACCCTGCCACCAGAAACGTGCTCAGGCTGGGACAGAAAAATAATTGTACTTTTAAGCCCCAAAACAAATTGCTCTTCTCTCATTCTTCTTCGTGTAAAGCCCCTACATCATTAGAGCTGTTTCTTTTCCAGGAAAGTACAATGCCTGCATTGTTTATACAGTTTAATTGTAAAGAAAAAAAAGCATAAAAGAACAAATGATGTTCTGTGCTGGTAGCAAAGAATATGAAAGTGTCCAATTAAACAACCATTGCCTGTGACTTGTGTAATAGCAACATCTGTTATCTTAATGAAACAAGTTTGTGTATAAAGGGACCCTCTTGGTGCACTTTGTTGGAGCAGGATCTGACCCAGATACTCCAGGCACGCTCAGGATCCTCGTGGAAATCCTCCCAGTTGGTGCCATTATCTGGCAGTGCTGCCAAGCTCTGTGATGTGTGAGCTTGCACACGCACGGCCACAGTGCTTCCAGCAGGAACATTGCTCTTTTGTAGCTGAAAGCCAACAAAAGCACAGGAAGGCAGCACATGGTGCCATTTTCCCAACGAGTTCAGCCACAGAAATGTTTGGAGGTGTGAGGAGTGCCTGGCTGTGGGAGTCCAGGGCTTCCCTCTGGCTGTCCTGGCAGGCCTGGGACCCTGGCAGGGGTCAGGAACCCCCCTGGACAGAGCCCCCAGAGACACTGTCTGTGATCTCTGTCCATGGAGAGGAGTTTTCAATCCTACAGGATCAATTACAAGCTCTGAGTGTTTGATATGAGTAATAATTAAATGTGGCATGGGTGCAAAAGTAAAATTTTAGGATTCTAGATAAGGGTTCCAAAGGGGACAAGATGGAGGAATTGGGTGTGTCTTGTCCTTTTCCTCCTTCTTCATGCCCTCCATGTTTCACTGTGCTGTTGGCATTTTTCTGTTGGTTCAGGCTGGGGACACACTGTCCAACGTAGGTGACAGATATTGGCACGTTATTGTAAATCCAGCACAGGTAGTTTGTGGTATTTAATGTTTGTACCATCCCACTGAGGGCAGAGCCCCACACGCTGCCCTGCAGGACAGAGCTGCAGCAGGGCAGCAGAACATGGTAGAGATAAACAGAATAAACAACCTTGAAACAGCACAGACCAATTATGGCTTCTGCTTTGGCAGCGGGGCTGACAGACAGAGACTTTCTACAACCTCAGAATCATCAGTACCTCAGATTCCGACACCAGACAGCTGCTGTGGTTTGTTACCCAAACTGCCTTGTCTGCTCCAAGATTTCAAT